CTTGTGTACTTCACTATTAACAACAGGATTCATGGCAGGAGAATATCCTTCGGTTATTGTTATTTTCAATCGATGGTAGTCTGTACCAACGACTTCCAGTGTACATCGGAACATATCAGTCATATCTCGGATGTCGTCGGATAACGTTATAAGCATGCCTTCCTCGTTCAGATATTGTACAGAAAACACACTGTCTTTCAAAGATGCAATGTTTAACTTCACCTGCTTTATAAAATTATTTTAATCTACTGGTTTGTCTAGGTAGAATTGCCTGGCCCTGCCTCTGTATTTTACCTGTACTTGGAACATCACGAATCAGTCGATGTGTATTATTAGGCTGTGTAGTTGTGTGGGTAATATTCGCTGTGTGCTGTTCAGTGCTAGGAATATGAGTGAATTTGGCGGAAAGTGTAGATTGTACCAAGGTACTGTCACAATGTAGCAATATGTAAGTGCTGTAATATGTTGCAATAAATAAGGCAGTTATGGTGTAATGTAGCAATAGCCTATACTTCATTCTGTATACTGCCTAGTACTTAATACTTAGTACTATTTTTAAAACCCCTGTATCATGTAAATTAAAAAAATTATATAATAAATGTAACAGTATGTAGGGTTAATTAGTCATTAGTCATTAGATCATCACTATGATGATGTGCATACTGGTCCCTACAAATGTGAGGGTTGTGAAAAGGAGTTTCCTAAAAAAGCTCAATTGAAAACTTATAATTATAACTTATAATTCGGTCTCCGTGTCTCCGTGTGTCCGTGCGTCCGTGTGTCCATGCATCCGTCCGGAGTCGTATCTCAGACTCCCTTGGACCGATTCCGTTCATTCTTTGCATGTGCCTAGTACTTTATGTGGGACATATGCACATGCAGTGGTTTAGCGATTCGATTCAAAATGGTCGACTGGCAGCCATCTTGTTTTTTGAAAATGTTGTATTTTGGACATGCTTTGCTAGTTTTGATTCAATTTAGTACATAAATCATACATGTTAGGATACATGTTCCCGACCATTCGTGAGTTCCTGAGTCTGTCCGTCCGACCGTCCGTCTGTCCGTGCGTCAGTCTATTCAACGTCATATTTCAGAATCCCTTGGACCGATTCTGTTCATTCTTTGCATGTGCCTAGTACTTTATGTGGGACATATGCACATGCAGTGGTTTAGCGATTCGATTCAAAATGGCCGACTGGCAGCCATCTTGTTTTTTGAAAATGTTGTATTTTGGACATGCTTTGTCAGTTTTGATTCAAATTTAGTACATAGATCATACATGTTAGGATACATGTTCCCGACCATCCGTGAGTTCCTGAGTCTGTCCGTCCGACCGTCCGTGTGTCCGTCTGTCTGTGCGTCAGTCTATCCAACGTCATATTTCAGAATCCCTTGGACCGATTCTGTTCATTCTTTGCATGTGCCTAGTACTTTATGTGGGACATATGCACATGCAGTGGTTTAGCGATTCGATTCAAAATGGTCGACTGGCAGCCATCTTGTTTTTTGAAAATGTTGTATTTTGGACATGCTTTGCTAGTTTTGATTCGAATTTAGTACATAAATCATACATGTTAGGATACATGTTCCCGACCATTCGTGAGTTCCTGAGTCTGTCCGTCCGACCGTCCGTCTGTCCGTGCGTCAGTCTATCCAACGTCATATTTCAGAATCCCTTGGACCGATTCTGTTCATTCTTTGCATGTGCCTAGTACTTTATGTGGGACATATGCACATGCAGTGGTTTAGCGATTCGATTCAAAATGGCCGACTGGCAGCCATCTTGTTTTTGAA